TAACCAGTTGGGAATAGGGCAAGCCCTTCTTTAAACCATAGAGGTGAAAGAAATCAAAGTGTAAATATGAATTATGGTCTGTAGGTTTAGAAGAGAGATCAAATTGAAAATTGAAAAATATTGTGAGGTATATACAAATTTCGTTTCAAATGAATCCATGAAGATATTACCATAGGATTGGGCTACATTCAACCCCATCACTGCATTCAACCCTATCGCTACATTCAACCCCATAACCTCTCAATTGTTTAAAGAATAATTTACCTTAGCTGAAATACTTCTCATGAAGGACTGTGTGTAGAAGGTCCAAAACAAATTGAGTCAAATAATGCTTACCCCTATAGATAGAAATGGGGAAACCGAATACTTATATACATGTAAAGAGAAAAAAGAAGAAAATATCCAATAGTGCAATATTGTTATACTATAAATAAGTGGGACATGTATGTGACATATGCTCACAATTTTTAGAGACTTTTTAAACGGTATGGCTATGAACATACAGGGTTCTGTGCCCTTTTGGCGGCAACAGTACCTCTTCAGACAACAGCTTACTTTCCTCCAGCAAAGTGCATTTTGTATTTATTAAGTCATATTTTGTGTTTTTTCTTTTTTATAAACAGTATTAAGAAATAATATAAATGCAATACTACAAGCTAATATAAAATATATTTAAAATGTGATGCATTTGTTGTAATATGTTACATGAAAAAGAAAATAAAGATTTAAAATAAATAGAAGAAAAAAATATCCAATAGTGCAATTTTGTTATATTATAAATAAATGGAACTTGCATGTACTGTATGTGAAATATACTCACAATATACTTACAATTTTTAGAGCCTTTTTAAATGATATGGCTATGAACATACAGGGTTCTGTGCCCTTTTGGCGGCAACAGTACCTCTTCAGACAACAGCTTACTTTCCTCCAGCAAAGTGCATATAGTGGACAAAAGAAATTAAGAGCAATATAGTGCCATTTTGTATATATTAAGTCATAAAAAATTGTTTTGTACATGGTATGCTTACCTTAAAAATAAAAAATGGCTCCACGTTTGTAGACTACTTGCCAAAATTATAGGATTGCAAAGCCCCTTTTTCTTGCAGTTAATTATTTATGCTTTATTAAAGGACCACTCTAGGCGTCCAGCTAGGGTTAACCCATTTTTTCATAAACATAGCAGTTTCAGAGAAACTGCTATGTTTGTGAATGGGTTAAGCCTTCCCCTATTTCCTCTGATTTTCACAGTGAGAGCACGCAAGCGTCCATAGGAAAGCATTATGAATGCTTTTCTATGTGACCGGCCGAATGCGCGCGCAGCTCTTGCCGCGAGTGCGCATTCAGCCCAGGAGGAGTAACGGAGGAGGATCGGAGGAGGAGAGCTCCCCGCCCAGCACTGGAAAAAGGTAAGTTTAACCCCTTTTCCCCTTTCCAGAGCCGGGCGGGAGGGGGTCCCTGAGGGTGGGGGCACCCTCAGGGCACTATAGTGCCAGGAAAACGAGTATGTTTTCCTGGCACTATAGTGGTTCTTTAAATAATACATTTAAATGAAAATAAATAATGTATAAAAACATAAAGAATATGTATAGTGTGAGTGTGAGATGTGTTTCACCCTTTGATGGGCTTCTTCAATAGATATTTTTACCTTCTCGAGTGGCTCCTTTTAAAGGGAGGAAATCCAATCATCTGCCTGTTTTGGGGGGGACACGGCTTGAATTGATGGTGGAAGGTGATGCACATTTCCTGTTTTTCCTGTGTCACCTACGTTGTTTCCAGTGAATTGTCCATAAAAAGAAAACCCCAGGCAAAAGTTGCATCTTTCGGGAAATTACGTATCTGATGTGCGCTCTCAGACACGTCACGTCTGTATTTTGGGACCATTCGGCACTCCGAATGGCTTGATTCGCTATGCAAATTCAAAAGTTCGAACTACATTACTCATAGAACATTTCACCTTTTGGCACTCATAGTATTGAAAAAGATATATGTATAAAACATGGAAAAAAGCAGGGAAAAAGCAGAAAGGACAATGATTAGTGTTTGCATTATTCCTAAAATGTATTATGACAAATAGTAATACAAAAAAAAATTTAAATTAAAAATGGGGGAACAAAAAAGGGACAAATTATTGTATCAAAAGTGCTTAAATGTAAAGACATATAAATTCACCTAAATCTGTATATAGATAAGAGACTAGATAAAGAAAAAATTACATCTAAATAAAAAAAAAATAGTATATATCTTTCAACTCTTAAGTGGCCTTGGAGGATGATAGGGATTTTTTTAATTATGTCTAAAAATGCTTGTATTAAAAAATATTAAATAATACTTAAAAATATAAGCAAATAAATATTAAAGATAAAAGATAGGTATTGTCAAAATTGCCATAGTTTAAAATATAGTATATATGTGTAGACCACCCAGGTGCAGCAATATAAAAAGATAAAGGTAATTACTTCCCTTATATATCAGGTCATAACAAAAGGATTCCTCAAAATCCTCAAATGCAAATATAAAATACACGATACAGCTAAAAAAATAAAGGCAGAGAAAAGTTCATAGGGCAACACTATATGATGAAAAGTGGCCCTTGGTGATAATAATACACTCACAAGATGTACGGATATTTTGAGCCCATCAAGGTTTCTTTAAATATTCAGCTACAGACGTCCTCAATATCCCAGGATACTTGCCAAAAAGAAAACACTGGACATAGTACAGTAATGCTTAAAATATAAAAATGACACTTTAATTTAACACACTTACAAGAAGTAAAAGGTAAAAATGCCCATCAATAAATCTCTGTGTCCCTCTGTTTATATTATTTGGAGGTTTTCTGGTAAGATGCCTTTTAAAATACAATCACTTTTTAAAACTGACAAAAGTTTTGTTAACATTCTTTTTACTTGCTGACAGTCTTTATTGAAGTCACATGTAAAAGGCATTTTAAAGGTTATTTTTGGTAGTTTTAGGTTTGTAAGTTAAATGTGTTTCTCTATTAATATCCTCTATTTCTTCTATTGTTTTCTATTGTTTGTCTTTTTCCATTTGCATCCTTTTTCAATAAAATTGTCTTTGATTTTTTTTAGCTTGAGTGTTAAACATTTCTATATCTGTGCAATTTGCAAGCAGTCTAAGAAACTGGGACTTAGGTACGCTTCTTAGCCAAGGAATAAAATGGCAGCTATCCAGTTGTATACAATTATTATTATTATAAATTTAAAACAGGTATTGGTTTTAATTTTGAATAAAAATGTTTAAATCCAAAAATTCTACAAATAAGTCTACAAACTTGGAGCCAGTCTTGGGCTACAAGCAAAGGTGAACATACCATGTACAAAACAAGTTTTTATGACTATGTATACAAAATTGCACTAGATTGGTCTGCATTTCTTTCATCCACTATATGCACTTTGCTGGAGGAAAGTAAGCTGTTGACTGAAAAGGTACTGTTGCCGCCAAAAGGGTAGAGAAGCATGTACATTCAGAGCCATATCTTTCAAAAAGGCTATAAAAATTGTGAGTATATTTCACATACAGTACATGCAAGTTGCATTTATTTATAATATGCACTATTGGATATTTTCTTTCTTTTATTTATTTTAAATCTTTATTTTCTTTTTCATATAACATATTACAACAAATGCATCAAATTTTAAATATTTCATATTAGTTTGTAGTATTGCATTTATATTATTTCTTAATACTGTTTATACAAAAGAATAAATACAAAATAATATTTTGAATAATAAATAAAATAACATTCTGACAAACTCCCCCTTTCCTGTGAGTTTGCCACAAGTTTTTGGAGGGGCCTTGTAACGGATAACCTGGCACCCCCGACTGGGTACCTCCGTTGAAGGATGCTCCTAGGGCTTCCTGAGGACTTCAAGCACTGCAGCAGACACCACAACCACCGAACTGGAGAAGCATACGAATGCTTACACTCCTGGCAATCAGCATACAATCCAATTCCCCCAATAACGAGACAACACTTCGTTTTGAGGTCAAGCAGAACTGACTGCACAAACATAGTATTGCCCACAGGGTTTTGAAATACAACCAATCAATCCATACAATACACACAGACACTCCCACACAAAATCCTCCCCTCTGCCTGTGATATGATTACTGAACACAATGGTTAATATAATTATCACAGGCAGAGAAATACAGTATCATAAAACACATCACAGGGACCCCAAAACATGCAATAACCCCATAAAAAGTATATCCTCAGAAAAGAGGGATCTGGGTGAACCACATATCCAAAATTCACCCAGATCCATTCAGTACTTTGGAAGATACAGTTTAATGCAGATTCTGCAGAACATATACAGGCTATATGAAAAACAATTACTGTATAATGTGTCCCCTGTTGTATAGCCCAAAACCACTGCACGATGTCTCTGTGCACCAAATACTGGCGAGATGGCACCGTGTAGAAAAGTCCAAACCGTGTCTGTGAGTTAAAATGTCCGCCATCCATTGTTCTCACCATGTGCTTCATCCATTGTTCTCACCATGTGCCTCTGATACATGAAATGGTGGCCACCCAGTACCTCCACAGTATGTCCCCAGATGGTTCTTAAAGGGCCAGCAGCAGCACAACACAAATCCAATATGCCCAAATCATGTCTTTAAAGGGCAATACATCCCAGGGGCCATAGTCACATGGCAGGAGGCTGGCAATCAGTCTTCTCCAATGCCCAGTGGCGAGGTCGGTTTCGTCACATTTCTCCCCTTTCCCAAAAAAGGTATCTGGCCTCCTGTCAGTCAGTGCCTTGGTTAGTCCAGCAACCCACCCACAAAACAGAATCTGCAGTATAACCCACCCACGAAAATGGGTTACTACACCTGGAGTAGTGGGTCGCTTGTCCAGGTCCAGGAGCTCCACCTCGGCTCTGGGGGGTACTAGCACTCTGGATCGGTGGGTTGCTGGGTGGGCAGAGACCAGCAGTACTCTGCCTTGGTGCCAGTGCTACCACGGAAGAAGCCTGGTTGGAGCCCAGGTGAGGGAACGGCGTAGTAGGCTCCTCACTCCGGACCTGGGGCTGCTGCTGGAGGGGAAGACAGGCTGTCTCCCCTTTGGATAAACAACCCTGCTGCAGGAGGACAGGAGCAACTGTCCCTACACCCTGTGGTTTGGGCACAGAGACCACGGTCCCATCTGCACCGGTGTGGAGCTTATCATCTCCCCTTGGTGGGCTAGGCTGCCGCTGGGGAGGGGGAACAAGACTCTTCCCTCCTGGTAGAATACTCTGCTACTGGGGAGCAGGACTGACTGTCCGTACTCCCTGTAGCTTGGGCGCAGAGACCATGGTCCCATCTGCGCTGGTGGGGGGGCTTAGTGTCTCCCCTTGGTGGGCTACATTGCCACTGGGGAGAGGGGGTAACAAGCTCCTCTCCCTTACACACTTTCAGCCGCTGGGGAGAGGGGGTAACAGGCTCCTCTCCCTGAAACACTCTCTGCTGGTGGAGAGGGGGACCGACTGTCTCCCCTTTCAATATATTGTCCTGCTGCTGGGAAGCGAGACCGACTGTCTCATCTGCCCCATCTGGGAGAATAAGGTCTACCCTTTGTGAAATACGCTGCCGCTGGGGAGGAAGGACTGCACCTTCGGCTCCCTGTGATAGATACTGCCGCTGGGGAGGAAGGACGGCACCTTCGGCTCCCTGTGATATATACTGCCGCTGTGGAGGAAGGACAGCACCTACAGCTCCCTGTGATATATACTGTCGCTGGGGATCTGGGCCGACCGCCCAGCATCCCTGTAGGGCCAGTAGAAAGACCACCATCCCATCTCTACCTGCCATCTGTGGGTCTTCCCAGGACCAGTCTGTGAGGTCCCTCAACATTTGCGAGTAAGGACCACATGCTTCTGCACCTGGCAACTCCAGCTGCTGCTGGGGATCTGGCTCGGCTGCCCAGCATCCCGGTGGGCCCGGTGGAGAGACCTCGGTCCCATCTCCACCTGCCTTGTGTGGTTCCTCACAGGACCAGTCTATGAGGACCCCTACTTCGGGTTCCTCCGGCCGCCTCAGGGGGAGACGGCTAGCCTCCTCGGATGCAGCCTCTACTCGGCTGCTGTAACACTCCTTCCGCTGAGCATACTCTCTCTCTTTCGCCAGCCGGAATTCTCCGGCCAGCCTTGTGTTTCGCTCGGCCGTGACCTGGTTCCAGATCACCGTATCTCCATGGGTACATCATCCCCATACTGGGCCACTCGCTGCCTCACCTCGGCCAGCCAATCATCTTCAGAGCCAGAGCATTCCCAGTCGCTGGATACCTCTGCTCCCAGGGGCGCTGCACGAGTGTTAGTGTTGCCCTCAATTTGTAACTCCACGAACGGTGTCTCTGAGCTGCTTTACCTCGCACTAGGACGCCATCCCACCGTTTGCCACCAATGTAACGGGTAACTTGGCACCCCGACTGGGTACCTCCGTTGAAGGATGCTCTGAGGACTTCAAGCACTGCAGCAGACACCACAACCACCGAACTGGAGAAGCGTACCATTGCTCTCAAGCATATGAATGCTGTAAGCAGCTGAACAGGAAAAGCATACAATCAGCTTACACTCCTGGCAATCAGCATGCAATCCAATTCCCCCGATAACGAGACGACACTTCATTTTGAGGTCAAGCAGAACTGACTGTACTGGCACATACAGCCTCTTTTATTCACAATCCACAAACATAGTACTGCCCACAGGGTTTTGAAATACAACCAATCAATCCATACAATACACACAGACACTCCCACACAAAATCCTCCCCTATGCCTGTGAAATGATTACTGAACACAATGGTTAATATTATTATCACAGGCAGAGAAATACAGTATCATAAAACACATCACAGGGACCCCAAAACATGCAATAACCCCATAAATGGCCGCCATCCATTGTTCTCACCATGTGCTTCATCCCTTGTTCTCACCATGTGCCTCTGATACATGAAATGGTGACCACCCAGTACCTCCACAGTATGTCCCCAGATGGATCTTAAAGGGCCAGCAGCAGCACAACACAAATCCAATATGCCCAAATCATGTCTTTAAAGGACAATACATACCAGGGGCCATAGTCACATGGCAGGAGGCTGGCAATCAGTCTTCTCCAATGCCCAGTGGCGAGGTCGATTTCGTCACAGGCCTGTTTGCCAGCCTTCTACCCTGTGACTATGGCCTCTGTAATAGACCTGGCTAAAATACTTTAACCCCTTAAGGACACATGACATTTGTGACATGTCATGATTCCCTTTTATTTCAGAAGTGTATTCCTTAAGGGATTAAAAGGCTCTGTTCATGTGAAGTATGTACTTTTGTACTCCAGACAGAGAGACCTACCGTTAGCACTAATTCTCTGGAACTGTTTTGGGTATGGGACCATGTGCACGGTCGGTCAAAAATAAGACTTCCAGGGGGGCGTGGCCAAGCAGAGCAGCTAACAAGACGTGTTTGTGTGGAGCTCCTGCTCACAACACTTAAAAACTCACTAAATTGCCACAAAAAGACAGCACTGAGACCTCAAAACTGAGCTACGACCAGTGCTAAACCCCCCACAGAGAGATGGGGCGAAAAAACAAACAACTTACCCAAAGACAAACAAAATCCTTCCAACCCGACATCAGGCGATCCTTTGACAGGCCGCAGCATCCTCCGCAGCCTAAAAGGGCGCTGGGTGGGCCACAAAGCGTCAGTGACTCAGACACATCTAATGAGGACGAAACCCAGATGACACACCTAGCCATTGCAGTGTTCCGGCCAGAGGATCACGACTATGATGATTCGTCCTCTACAAAAGGCGACATCAAAAGACTATTACTGGACCTGTGGGAAGTGTGGAAATCTGACCTGGCTGGAGTACAAGCAGAGATGACAGGCATCATGACGCACCTAGGCGCAGTGGAAACACAAAAAAGAAATAGAGACTCGTTACTCACAGAGACTAGAATGAAGATGGAGGCATTATCCCACCGACTCCAAAGCCTCACCCGCATGGTCACATCGATGGAAACACGCCATCAAAAGAGAAACATGCTCATCTGAGGAGCCCAGAAGCCTTACTGGAGTTCGCGAACAGAGTCGCAGAGACCATGGGGACGAAGAGGATCTGTAAGGACTTGACCACCCCGGCAGATGCCTCTGGAGACATTATTGCCATCACCCGGGATGTCAGTTAAGGCGGCGCTCATGGTCCACTCCAGAAAATCGCCCACCACCAACGTGGATAACCACAGTATCAGAGTCTTTGACGACCTCCCATTCGTGACTCTGATGGAGAGGCAGAAGCTTATGCCTATTACCAGCCAGTTAAGAGACCGTGGCATCCAATACCGCTGGGGAGCAGCGGGCACAGTGGTGGTGACTCACAAAGACATAGTCCTATCGTTCTCAGCGGAGGAAGACCCCACAAAATTCTTACAAGACCTACAGCGACTGCAGAACTTACCCTCGGAACAGGGGAGCTAAAGGACCCTGGGCGCAACCGGCGGGAAAGAAGAACATGAGAGCGGCACCGGGGCGGAGAAGAAGCAGAGAAAACCACGACAGCAGCACCCCCCATAGAATTGATAGAGCAAGAGTTTATCACACATCTCCTACAGGGGACTGGTAGAGGCGGAGGGCTGCGTAGGCCCACGCTGGTCTTGCAACATTGATATTGTATAATGTTTGCATTTTCGTTTATTAGCTGTACTCTAATTTTATTTTACTTTCTTGCTATACTTAACTAACCACACAACAGGAGGCTAACTGACAGGCCAAGATTAGACCCTCAGAGGAGGACACCACACACCCAACCAATTCCGCACTGAGCGCATCCCGACATTGCACCTAGAGGGGCAATGGCGACACCACACAATTGCCACACACACGTGGAACAGATGGGCAGGGCACCACCTCCCGGTTAGGGGACAGTCAGCACGCATGGGGGAAGTGGGGCGGACGAGGCAGAGAGGGATCCGCACACAGACCGCAGCACGGAGACACAGAGAGCATTTAAGCGCAAGATAAAACAAGTGAGGATACGGAGAAAAGGGGACAGACCCGAGGGGAGTCTTATCTATGCTGGCAGGCCGGTACCCACTGCCCTTGTGACATATGCAACATTTTATCTAAGTATCAACCCAAAAATACCCTCCAAACTGGATATCGAGAAACTACTCACTATATTAAGCTATATTATACAACACCAACAAGCTCAAGGGCGAACACAAGTGCTATAGATATTCAGACATGTCATTGCCTTTAATCTTAATGGCAGTCTGCTTGGCGGATTTTCATATTTAGCTGATATTCATATTTGTTTGTATAATTTTCCTGCCAACGTTTTACCCAAAGTCAAGCTTGTTCATACAAAAAAAATTTGTGCAGTCTTACTTTATGCCATATTTATGTTACTCTCAAGTGGCCGGTATCTGCTATCGTGGCATTACCAGCATATATGTATCATTCTTCATACACTCAAAAATAAAGAATTAAAAAAAATTAGAAAATAAGACTTCCAGGCAATTCCTGAACCCCTGAACCGATCTGGGTGATTTTTGGATATGTTGGTCACCCAGATCAGGGCTATTAGTGGATGTAACATTTATGGGGTTTTATGTAATTTTAGGGTACTTATGGGGTGTTTTTAAAAAGTGTGTTTTTTTTGTGCTTGGAGATAATTGAATTAGAATTAGTACAGTTATTGATCCAATTATCTCCCAAGCAGGGAGGAGGGATTGTATGTTTGTTATGGGAGTGTCGGGCATTTAATCATTGTTCTTATTGGTCTGTGTCTTTGTGTTGTAGTCCCCAACAAGGTCCATGTGGGCGTACCCCTTGCACAGGGATTGTCATAAAAGGCCAAGTGTGGCTCCCATTAAATTGTGATTTGTTTACCCCTTCATGAAGTCTTGGCTCATGTTTGGGGGATTGGAGAACTACATTCACTTTGGGGAGTGCTATATCACAATACTCCTCTTAGTATAATCACTAGCTCTTCCTGCTACGCTCTCTAGACTAGGAGAGGTCTACCCACTGGAAGCTGGATCTTTGTCTTGGGTCAAGGGTGGGTGGAGGACAGCGAGACCCCAAACAAGCTGCGGTGGGTTGTGGGGTTTACGGTGGTTATGGCGTTCCAGTACAGTGCTTATGGTTCTCGCAAGTACTAGGAAACAGCTATTGCGGAGGTACCCGGTCAGGGTGCCAGGAGATCCGTCACATTGGTGGCAGTGGCAGAACAGTTTCCTA